AAAAAAAAGAATTGGTTTAAAATATGGTAGTCCTCGACTTAGGACAATTGAGCCCCAAATTTTTGTTGCTAAGTGACACATTCGTTAAGTGAGTTTTGCCCCATTTTTTACTTTTCTTGCCACAGTTGTTAAACGAATCACTGCAGCTGTTAAGTTAGTAACAAGGTTGTAAAGCAGAGGTCCCCAACCTTTTGGGCACCAGGGACCGGTTCCGTGGAGAGAGGTTTTTCTGTGGACCGGAGGGTGAGTGGTTTTGTGTGCTGCCTGCATCTTGTGGATGGGTCCTTGCTTGTTTGTGCAGACCGGTTGCTGACATGCCGCAGCCCGATACTGGTCCACGGACCGGGGGTTGGGGACCCCTGTTGTAAAGTCAATCTGGCTTCCCCATTGACTTTGTTTGTCAGAAGGTCGTGAAGCGAGATCACATGAACCCAGGACACTGCGACCGTCATAGATAGGAGTAGTGGCCAAGAGTTCAAATTTTGATCACATGACCAGGGAGATGCTGCAACAGTTTTAAGTGTAAAAAACGGTCATCGGTCACTTTTTTCAGTGCCGTTATAACTTTGAATGGTCACTAAACAAATGGCTGTATGTCGAGGACTATCTGTACAGAATGTTCAAACATTCATATTTGGGATACTTCAATGACCCTACATGTCTATGTACTTCTCCTGTTCCTCTATTTTCTCATATTGTTTGATCAAAATGCTTCTAGCAACAAAGATGATCAGGGGACAGGAGGCTAAAACATACAGTATAAGGAATGGTTGCTGGAATTGGGTATGTCTGGTTTAATGAAGAGAAGGACGAGGGGTGACAGGATAGCAGTCTTCCAGTATCTCAGGGGCTGCCACAAAGAAGAGGGAGTCAATCTATTCTCCAAAGCACCTGAAGGCAGGACAAGAAGCAACTGGATGGAAACTAACCAAAGAGAGAAGCAACCTAGAACTAAGGAGAAACTTTCTGACAGTTAGAACAATTAACCAGTGGAACAACCTGCCTCCAGAAGCGGTGAATGCTCCAACACTGGAAGTTTTTAAGAAGAGACTGGACAGCCATTTCTCCGAAATGGTATAGGGTTTCCTGCCTGAGCAGAGGGATGGACTAGATGACCTCCAAGGTCCCTTCCAACTTTATCATCATCATCATTATTATTATTATTATGGATCATCGCACAGTCAGCCAGATGTTCAGACTGGATTTGGCATTTTGTCTACCTATCGAGTCCTTTCCCAGGACCTGGGATAGGCAGATGTGGATGTTTGATGGTATTACAGATATCGTCGCAGGATGGAAGCAGTTCCTAGTAAGGCCGCCTTTTGCAATTGACTAATAGCGAATTTGTC